ACAGATCCCTCAATACAATCAGCCCAGTCCAGAGGCTAGGATTGTCATTGGGTCTCATCTGAAGCCTGGAGAGGCTCCTCAACTTTGCTGCAAACGACTTACCTGATGTTTCTACCAATGTATTTGAAAAGCAGTTGCCGGGTGGTGGTGACGCACGCCTTTAATCTCAGCACTTGGGAGGCAGAGGCAGGCGGATTTCTGAGTTCGAGGCCAGCCTGGTCTACAGAGTTCCAGGACAGCCAGGGCTACACAGAGAAACCCTGTCTCGAAAAACCAAAAAAAAAAAAAGCAGTTTATGATTTTCTTTGTCGGTACCTATAAAAGCTTCATAAAACTGTTCAAACCTGGAATTTGGAGTAATCTATATCTGAGTTCTTGGGTCATGGTCATCCATTCTTGGTTCTAGAATAGACCATCTCTTACTCCCTTTGGGATGAGAAGTGTGTTTATGTTGTTGCTTTAATCTCAAAACTGAAATGAGGGTGTGTGTGGCGTGTAAAAACATACCAGTATACTAGAAGACTAAAATATAAATATCCCTACCATGGGTATTAAGTATGGCCTGTTTTCTAAGACAGCGTGAACTATACGTTTGACTTTTTGGTGGTATTATTACTGGAAATGACATATAAAATGTTGCACTTTGCAGCATTCTCTTTGGTTTGGTGAGATCCACATCTTCAGATTGTCATTGTCAATGTCCCACACCTAAGCAGCTGTAGGGACAGAGGCAAGAGGAACGTGAGCTGATGGGACTGACATTAGTTTTGCTGGCCTTGGATCATAGATCACAAACTTGAGTCCATTATACACGATTAGTTTCCTGAGAAGTTAATTAATTCAGACCGAGCCATCAAACATTCCTGCTCATTTGACTTAGGACTGAGCTTTAGCTGTGAAGCACAGGGTTATGGAGAGAACAGGGTTATGGAGAGTATGCAAACAATTTCAAATATGCCCAGTGCTTCAGAACTAAGGCCAACAAAAATACTGAAACTGGATAGCTTTGTTGCAGGTGTCTTAATATTGTTGCAGCGTTACAGTCATTCAGGGTAAATGACTCCAGGCTGTGCTGCATTTGCATAAAGGAGGTCAAACTAAGACTGAACTGGAGAAGATTTGGCCAAGATGTAGGGTAAGAATGAAGACTTGGGTGGAAAGTCATGGCTGTTTGTTTTCCTGTCCTAAAACATATGAATGTCCCCAAAGGGTGTGGGTTCTGAGAAGGCCATTCTACTCTTAAGCTTGATGGGAATCTCAGAATTGACTTTCCTTCTGCCAGTACCTTGTATTCAAATGCTGGATGGCCAAGGTGAAAAAGGAGACAATGAGTGAGCCACAGAACAGTGCCAGGGTTCAGCTTCAGACAGCTGCATCCAGACACTCAACCTTGCCTATCTTGTTTCTCTTGCTCCCCACTGCTTTCATCTGTCGTATTTCAAGGAGATGTGGCAAGGACAGAGGGAAGAACAGGAGCTGTTGATGCTTAGATGTAATTTTCTAGAACCGTGTTATAAATCACAAACTGGATCAAATGATATACTTTTAATTGCCCAAGAAGCTAATTAATCAGCCTGAGCTATTAAAACATTGCTGCTCATCTGACTTAGAACTGAGTTTTAGCCAACGCAAGGCCCAGTATTGTGGAAGGTAAACAATCCTTTTTGGAAAAAGAGCATTTAGCCAGAAGATGGACAATTCATTGGCTCAGAGCCACCCAGCTTGTCATGTGTTCACTTTTAGAAAGTTCACCATGGCTGCAAGTGGTGATTGGTGTTACACCCATCCAGGGCCAGGCCTTGTAATGCATGCTAGGCAGACTAAAGGGAACTCATCTGAGCTGAGAGTGGAACCATGGCTCCTTGAGGACTAAGGAAGAGTGTTAACATGGAAGGGATTGACATTGGGCCTGGAAACCACCACTGAACTACAGCTGACGTGGTCCAGATAAGGTTAAACAAAAAAGGGGCAGGAGAGATCTGAGGTCAATCCCTAAAACACACGTAAAAGCAAAGCAAGCCCAATAGGGCTAGACCAATGGCTCAGCAGTTAATATTGTTTGTTGCTATTCCAGAGAGCCAGGGTTTCCAACACCCATATGGCGACTCACAATTATCTGCAATTCCAGTTCCTGAGGATCTGATGTTCTCTTCTGGACCCCTAAAACTTGACTTACAGACAGTTGTGAGCTTCTATGAGGATGATGGAAACAATCCCAGTCCTTAGGAAGACTGGGATTGTTATTACCTGTTCCCAAACGCTGAGCCACCTCTCCATCTCCACCTGGTGGGCATTTTAAGAAACTGCAATTCTCATGGATTTTCTCTCTCTCTCTCTCTCTCTCTCTCGCTGGGGCCCGGGCTGGGCTGCAGGGGGGGCCAGGCCAGCCA